CGAAGCATTTTAAGTTTGATACTGTTTCTTTTTCGAGAATTTAAATTCGATCTGTTCATCAGCTGGCTCCAAATGAATAAAGTCAGTTAGTAATTTAGTCATCGTTGAATCAGCCTAGTCAAGGTTTTCAGTTAACTATATAAAGACTACTTTTGTATATAGGACGTTTAGAAATGTAGAATATCTCTCAACTTCAGCTACTAATTAACAAGTTAAATAATACATAATATATTCATTTGATTGAGATCTCTCTTTCTACAGGCTTATTGTCGTATAACAAGTAGAAAAAGACAATTTCTTTTTTTCTTCTGTTTAACTTCTGTAAAATGTTATCACCTAGAGAACGTAGATTTGGACAATCAGATTGTTTCTATCGAGATTTCTATTGAAATGTCCTTTAGCATAATGTTTATTAAGATAATTATTTGTTAGTTGTATATATTAAAATCGTTTAACAATGAAATCATATTGAAATTGAATATAAAAATTGAAAATAAAAATGCAATAGGTTTATATGATTAATTCTAATATGACTATCTAATATCAATGTAGGTATATAGATTGAGATTACTATATGAGAAAATAAATAATTCAAATCACACTTCATTTAATGATAGATTTTTAGAAAAATCTATCAAAATTCTTTTCGGAATATTAATACTGCTGATAAAGATTTGCACCTTTTCTTAATTGTTCAAAAAAAAAAATAAAAGATTAATCAAATGAATCTTTATCGAGAAGAATTAATTCTTATAGAATAAAAGAGGATATTGTTGAACTGAATATTTCATTTTTTAAATAGTAAAACAAAACAAAGGATTTATTCTTTTTCCTCTTTTCCAGATTAATTCCATTCAACTTTTTAAATGAAATCTTTGAATCTGGTATTATTGCAAATATTACAGAATATCATTCGAGATATGTCAAACTAAAAAGAGTTAAGGTACTTCCTATTCTTATTAAGAATATCTTAGAGCCCTATTTTCGCTTTTATTTTTGAATAAGAATTTCATGTCTAGTACCTGGAAAATAAACGACATATTTGACAATATTCACTACAATTAAACTTCAAACTCTATTATAGTTTAACTTTCAACTTCCAGGATAGTTGGGTGGTATTATAAACAGGTGCAATCTAATCCCTCTATTATTTCCTGTTAGTCGTCCGTCCATGGAACTCCTTTCGTCGCATCTACACACCAACTGCGATATGTGTGTGTGTGACCATATTTGGTGATCGTCATTGTGCATAGTGATTTTAATTTGAAAATTGAAGTTGAAAGTTAACATTTTCGTTGAACTGAAGTTGTTCTATTTAAACTAACTAAACTTCGACGATAGTATCCAATTTGATATTGCTGTCCTAGTAGAATTTAATTTACTAAATACTTGTAGTTTAACCTGTACAATCATGGTGATTTTATTTATTCTCATAATTTAGTTTTGTTTTTTTAAAATACTTGGAAAACTTATGATAAATAGTTTTAGGTCATACTTAGTTTTTCAATATTTTTATATCTTCGTTCAACAAATCAATAATTCATAATTATCCTCTGATTTAATTGATGTTAAATATTCAACATATAGATAATTGAATATGTGAGATATTAAATGAGAATATGATTCTTATTGATCACTTAAGATAAAATGATCGAATGTTAGGATTTCATTCGTAAAAATCAAGTTGAATAGAATATCCTGAAGATAAAAGGTGGAATGATAAATAAAGAAGATTAGAATAAAAATAATTAAAATTTTCTCTCGAATCAATATTGACTCTTTAAAATGAATTTTCTCTAATCTAGATTGACTTGTTTTTATTTTAAATAAAGATCGAATCTTGTTTTTAGATAAAATAATATTTTCCATAAAACTTTTCTAGAAAAAACGACAGAAGACCTTAAATGAATTCTCGAAAACAATGATTTTCAGATGAACTAAATAAAGTTTTATGGATTATGAAAGTGTCGAAATCTTAATGATTTACGTTTTTTTTTTTACTTTTATCGATACTAGATGGAAATAATGATCTATCTATGAATTGTTTATTTAATCTTATGGAATTTGTATTATCAAAATTATTTCAATCTTTTTCTATTCGATCAATTAGAGAAGAGAAAAAAAATCATGAATTCATTGAGACATGCTGACAAATCTATATGAAATAGAGTGTATCTTACTGAAAATGAGAGGCAGGATCGAAGACATTCCCTAGATGTTAAACAACAGGAAATTCTTTCGTTTGTGAAGACTTCAATACTAACTATAGAACATGATCTGCTACTTTCAAAATATGATGACTGTCATTTCTTTTTCTTTTTCTTTTTCTTATAGTATGCACATCAATTTTGGTTGAAAGTAAATCGAATGAATAGTTTTTTGCTTTTGATCGAAAGTAATCTTTTTATTTTCTTCTTTATCTATTATTTGTTTTATTTAATATTTAATTGAAATATTGAGAATGTTACTATAGAATATATTCACATCCATAGCAACACTTTATGCTACTCAAACCGAATAGTGAAGATGTAAAAAGTCAAACAGAAATGAGAACTTTTACTTAAACAGTCTCCGTTGTTGAAAGATAGGATGTGACATTGGACAACTTGTCATTAGGAATCATTCAACAAAAAAAAAAAAACTTTATTATTTCGATACTTTTCGAGCCTTTGATAAAATGATGTAGTCGAGGAAATGTTGATTCTTAAATGTTTTTCTTAATTATTTTCGAGTACGATTAAAAGTGCTCTCACTCTTGTATGTCAACTTTTATGAATACAATAAAAGTTCCGCTGTTTATAAGTATGATCAGAAACGTTTTTGACCGTTGTATCACATTATAAGGTTTGTTCGAAAATGTCTTAAAAATTTCTCTTACTTACTGTTTCTTGAGTTAGAATAATTGTTATGCACCCTGTGATCCTCAATTAGATTTTTAGATTGAAATGTTTTTTTTTTTGGTATAAATGTAGGAGAGCGTTACTGCAACTGTTAGGTTGTGTTGGTTAAAGTGAATACCAATGAGAAATATAAGATAAATAGAAATTGACATTTGTCTTCTCTTTGTTCTCATGCACATCCACATTTATGCCTAAAAACTTCACGATAAAAATGGTGTTGCTATTCTCGCTTATGTTGATAAAGGAAATTTCATTGAGAAAATGTGAATATAAATATCATAATCAAAGATATTGTTCAATGAATAAAACTAATAAAAAAAAACGCTTCTATTTGTATGGATTTTCTTCCACTATATAAATAATTTTGAATGTTGATCATAATGAGAATTAATTTCCTTTTAATAAATGATCCAAATCAGTAAATAATTTCGAATAAATCTAGGGTATACAAGATCAGATAAATAAATTATCTGTTGTATCAGTGTGCACGAGTAAAAAAGTTCTAATAATTGATAATTTGTTGATGATGACGTTAAATATTCAACATAAAATTGATGTTGATGATCAAGAAACTTCTTCCGTAAAATGATTGATATTATCTATATATGACCATTCGAATAATAATGCTTTATAATATTAGGATTATAGTAAAAATATTCATTTAAAATTGTTAAATATGAAAATCTATTAAGTGGATATGTATATATACTCTTTCATCATCAATCAACCATTAATAAGTTTTTGTTTAGAATTCTTTGACATTGTTTATTTAAAATGAAATTCGACATCTTAGAAAAGTATAACAAAGGAAAACTTTTAAGGAAGGTTTATTTTTCAAAGAACGTCTATTTCTTATACTAATATCCAAGCTTCATAGTCGTCCTATATTTCCTATATCTTAAGAAATACTCCTATAATCTACTCTTTTTCAGGTTTTTTTTCCTGTAATATCAAGCAAAGCCATCGACACATTAGAAGACCCGGGGTCTTCTATTCTATCTTATCGTTCATAAGTTAAAAGGGGGGTCTTCTATTATATCCCTTAAAAAAATCATATTTTTTGGCAATCCCACCTATAAACCTTAGCTTCACTTGTTTCACATGTGTAGAATAAGAAAGAAATAGATATCATCCTGTGAAAAAAGGGAGACCATCGTTGGTAAGAAGTGTTCTTAGAACAATACAGTCAATTTAGCCTAGCATCTTGGTACGATATCCCATATCGTTCTTTTTTTCTCTAGACTAACACCTATCACTGGCAACATTTTACCTTCTCAATAACTAAATAAATGTAAAAAAAGAAAATTAATTTTTTTTATCAAACTCATTTTATTCAGTTCCTTATGTGGAGATATGATTAGTATAGATGGAATCTATTCATAGTGAATTCTGTTCCTAGCACAGTTATTAATCTTAAATTAACTTCAATGAACAAGATTGTCTTATGAAGAAAGCATCTATAGAACATCAGCAGTTGAATACACACACCGTTTTTCTTTTGCGTCTGTTTCAAAAAATGGCATTGTACCTTATTGAAAAAAGAAATGCATTCTGAAACTCAAAAAAAGTACTCACATATCAAATCTCGACGTTTATACAGTTTACGCAAAAAATTCTGGGACATTCAAGAATGGCTCTCCGAAATTTCATCTTTCATTTGAAATAAACTTTATATATATTTTTTAAGCATAGTTACTGGTTAAACTTTCGTACTTTACTCTACAGACGCAAAACTTCTAGTTTTAATATTATATAAAACTGTAACCAGTAACTATACTTAAAATATATATAAAGTTTGTTTCAAATGAAATATAAAATTTTGCAGAACCATTCTTCAGTGTCCCAGAACTTTTTGTGTAGACTGTGCATGAAGTTATGTTTTCTTCAATTATGAAAGACTGTTTTGTAGTGAAAATGTTTCTGATTTTCTAGAAGAAAGTCAAAGATGAAAAGACCTTTTAATTAATACAAAGTGGCACTTTACCTAATCTGTTACTATTGTACAAAGATCCTTTCACATGTTACATGCACGAACGGGCACTGCGTTCATTAGATCCTATGACTATGGAAGCGTGTTTTTTTGTGTATAGAGCCTGATTAATGTATTCAAAGTAAGCTGCAAAGGAGTACTAAAATGACTCCATGGTATATTTTTACAAAGAAACGCAATCTTTAATAGACAGTTGTTTCCTATTAGTTGCTTCTCAGGATTTTACTCATTCGAGCCTGACACTTGGTTATGAGGGAGGAAGCAAGATATTGTTCGTACTGAATTTCGATATCATTCTAGGCTTAAATACTAAACAAGTCAATAAACTCCAGAAACTGTTTCAAAATATCGATTTTTTAAGAGGGGGAGGGGGTCTTCTAACATAGGGGGGTCTTCTAATGTGTCGATGGCTTTACTAAAATTGTCAAAGTCGAATTTAGCTCTTCAAAAACACGTGATGAAATTTTATCCAATGGTCATATAGTCATTAACTATGTTAAATATGATGTTAAAGAATATTTACCACAAGCAACTATTCTTATTTATACAAAATGTTTTGGGGTAGGGCATTTTCGCAAACAATGCAAGCAAACAGATGATACTTGTAAAGTTTGTAGTGAACGTTGTCCTGATATTATTAAACATAATTGTTCTGGTATTGCTAAATGTTTACATTGTGGTGGTGATCATCATTCAAACGATATGAAATGTAAGGTGGTCAAGCAATATAGAGCTGATTTAACCAAAATTCTCTTATCATATTCCAACAAGTCGTTTAATAATAATATGTTCAATAATATGTTTACCTCAACATCTGAATTTCCTCCTTTACTGCGTCCAACTAAATCAACTATTAAAGATTATAAGATGCTAGCAGGTGAACAAAATGGAATTATGACCAAACTGGACCAGATACTTAATTCAATCAACAATATTAATGATACTATTGGTGATCTTGTTAAACGTACTGAACAAATTGAAGATTGGATAAATGCTAAACAAAAATTCGACTTGAAAATCAACAATGGAATTAGATCTTTACAATATGGAATTTCACGTCACGATGGTGTATTATTTAATCAAACAAATGTTATAGAAAAACTAATTCTTCCTGCTATGGATGATATTATGGCAATGCTATCAGTGATGAACGTCAAGGAGGGTAGGGTTTTAAATGTGGATTTTGAATCGAGAAGTGGTGTTTGGAAGAACCAACCAATTCCAAGCCTATCGTGAAAAAAGACTATATTTTTAATGAATTTATCTCCTCTCTCAACTCCTTTTTTTTCTTGTATCCCATCAGCTAAATTATCTCATAGGTCGTTTTTTCTAGATTGTACTAAAAATAACCTCTCGCCCTTCGATTTTTTATTATTTAAGAGTATTCTAGTCGAATGGGAAAGTTTGTGTACTCTTTCTTTTTGCTTTTCTGGATGGAAAAAATTTGTTCGTGCAGATACTTTTTCTTCTTTTAACTCACTTCATTGTCTATCTTTTAACGTTCGTGGTCTTAAGCATAGATGGAATGAGGTTCAGATACTTGCATGTACTTTCAAATTCGATATCATCATATTAGTTGAAACTGGAGCATTTGAACTACCATTGCTAAACAAATTATTCCCGAATAGTTCGATCTACTACCAAAAAGGTGAGAATAGTTTTGGTGGAGTCATAGTGATGATTAGGAAAGATCTTAAAACAAAAAGATATGATTGTAACTTGCCGAATGTCTGTGCGGTTGATATTGAATTAGAAGAAAAAATCAGAGTGGTCGGTATCTATGCTCCGGAGAGTAAGAAGTGGAGCTGGACAGACCTTACCCAGTTAATCTCCACAAAATGCGTCCTAATGGGAGATTTTAATGTGGATCTGAATGAGGACAGGAAGACAAGTCAAATATTGCTGCAATTGGCGGATAATTGTAACTTAGTGTCCTATTTGCCTGACTCTTTTACATCACTGAGAACTGATGCTGGTCGTACAATTGATTACGCTCTCACAAGCGGGTTGCCCATAAGTATACAGACATATGAAGGAGGTACGACAAGTGATCATAAACCAATTCTTAGTATACTGTCATGTAACAGGAAGGAACTAGCTACGAGTAAAAATGTTCACTGGAAGGTCTTCTCGTTGTTCCTATCTTTCGTCTTTCCTTTTTGGCAAGCGCAACGGAATATGAGTTGTATTGATGAAGTTTATAAAGATTACGTTTTTTTTTCATCATTGTTAATTGCTAGATGTACAGTGCATTTCCAGCTTAATAAATATCGGGTAGCTCTACCAAACACAATTCGTGCTCATCTCGTTTACTGTCGAACACTTTCTCTTCGAGCGAGGAGAACTGGAGACATTGAATTGAGAAGATCTGCCTTGATGTGGAAAAGAGAGATTAAGAAGGAGATAAATCACTTTATCTCAAATTCAATAAGATATTTCATTAGTACTGATGTTTATTTTAAATTATTTCTAATCGACTAGATCGAAATTTTAAAAATCTACTTACTGCTATTGACTTACTTTTATTGAATGTTCGTTTTTACTTATTAAAAAAATGTGAAGTTTTGACGTTTTTTTTCAAAACATCAATTTACTTGTTCACCTTTTTCTTTTTTTTCTCATGTTCATATGTTCTCAGCTAAGTAATTCATAAAAACTGGTATTAAAATCACTTGAATTTCATCTCATCATAATATATTTTGATAATATCAATTACATAGAATACAATTTTTGTTTGTAAGCAAAACTATATTTTCTTTATCGATACTGGTTTGTATGATTCAATGTATATGGAAGTATCAAAGTTCGAGTTAACTCTAAACAGAGAACAAATTATTAAATCAAACTTACTAAAAAAAACCAGAATCTAGTAATGTAAATTTTAATTACATATTAATGTATTCTTTCTCATACGTTATCTTAGTC